AGGAGTTTAAAATAGTGAAATTCTAAAAAAAAAAAAAACTAATTATCGGACTACACTTTCCTGTATACATACACAGTGGGGTCCAAAACTCTGATTTGTGGAGTTCATGCAGCTTGATAAATAAATAAATACACACACATGCATACATACATAAATGTTTTATACTTTATTATGCTTGCGGATGCAATATTTTGATAAACTCCTAGTGGTTAAAAAAAACTGATACTAAACGGGTTGTAGGTTTAAATCCCAAGTATCACGTGTTGCTTCATAAACCATGAGATTCAAGACACTTGGGTTGCTCCAGGAGGATTGTCCCTGTAAGTCACTTTGTATCAAAGCGTCACATAAACGACTTGGTAAGAAGAAGCCAACCTACTCACCTGTCCACACTGATCACGCACAGCGTCATGATGGATGCAGTGCAGCACATCACATCCATGCCGATGAAGATGTTACAGAAGACCTCTCCAAAAAGCCACTCTCCTCCCGTGAGGTCCGTCACGATCACGAATGGCATCACCACAATAGCCACGGAGAGATCCGCCACGGCCAGAGACACCAGCAGATAGTTGGACGGCTGTCTGAGCTTCTTAACGACGCACACCGCGATCACCACCAGCATATTTCCAATCACCGTCACGGTGGTGATGATGGCCAGCATCATTCCGATGACAATCTTCTCCGCTGTGGTGAAATCGAGCAACTGTTCCCCGCAGGATTTGTTCCACATGGCCACTGAGATGTTGTAGAATAAGTGTGAGGAACCATTGAGAACTTCCGACGCGACCTCAGGGTGAGTGAACGAGAAGAAATCTAGCGAGCCCGATGAGTTGAACATCATCCCTGCGCCTGATGATGAAGAGCTCGCCAAGAGTGCGCTCCGTGCGCCAAACGCATGCTGAAGCGAGCGCAGATACGGGGTGTCTTCAGGCTTTCCAAAAGAAAAAAGGCATGTTGTGCGGATACAGCAGAAGAAAACTTAAATAAACGGGAAGAAGGAGGACCATCACCACGGTTTGTCTGTATAACGCGCGCGTTTGGAGAAGCTGTACGGTCCTTGACTTGATGGAAGTGAAGTGTGTGAGAATTGCGCACTCTAGTAGGTTAAACGCGTAAAAGCGGTCTCAGCTCCACCTACATTAAGATGTTTTTCTGTCTTCTGTTGTGGAGGAAGCGCAAGAGTAGCGCACTAGACTGTCTCTAGGGTCTCTCTCACTTCAGGTCTCAGGCATTTCGCTGTCAGTTACTGTTTCCTTTATTGTTTCTGTGCCTTGTTGCGTAACTACATGGATAACATTTTATATAGCATTGCACAATTTTATTTTTGGACATGTTAGGTTTTGGACAGTGGAAAGTGGAGACGAAAATAATAAAATGACCCTATACAATCTTACGGATATCATCACTGTTTTGAGAAAACACGCACGTCTCAGTGACGGGCCAAAAGCACCATTTACAGCAATCAGTGACAACATTTTCAATAAACCCTGGCGCAGCAACAGAGACCCTTGGCATCTATGTGGGCGTGTCCAATTAATTTTATGCAAATATGCATACATTCTCGTATGCTTGTAAACAAACAATAATTATAATACTTTATCACCATCTTCGTGATTATGATGTTAATAATAATAATAATAATAGCAAACCCGTTTTTAAATTCATCAGGAGACTTATTTTGCATATTTGAGTATGCTCGCCTCAGGTTTGCTGACATGAGACTGGGGGCGGGGTTTTGAAGAGAGGGCGGGGTTTTGGAGATTGAGGGGGTGGTGTTCTAATTCAAAGGCTGAAATTGCTTACAGCACACTTTTATTGTAGCCTTGTTGTTAAAGATCTAGGTTGGTGAACAAAAAGGTTGTAGGTTCAAACCGTGTGTGCCTCGCACATCCTGAAAAGTGAAGCTGCGGGGTCTTTGCGAAAGATGGTTTTGGTCATTAAAGGTTGTTGTTATCACGCTGATATATGTTCAATCGTTCGTTTTTGTGATAAGTTTGATTTTAGCTAGTAATTTGATGCTATAAATACGGGGCGTGTCGTTATGGTTGATTGGGTCTGGCTCCAAACGAATCTCTACTGCGCAGACTTGGGCTCCAAATGACGTCATTTACTCAAGATGGCAGCGGCCATACTGAGATGCTTTGGCTTCACTTTTCTATAGTGGAAGGAAGTGGAGACGTGTCGTCCATCTTTTTTTACAGTCTATGGTTCAAACCCTGAAAGGGGCGATTCATGACCACTGCACTGACAGAAAAGCACTTAAACCCAGGTTGCTTCAGGGGAAATTGTCCATGATATAAGTGTACTGTAAGTCACTTTGGATAAACCGCCAGATGAAAATGCTTATAATTTTAGACTTTCCAGAACACCACGCAGAGCTCTAAGAGAACAAAAGCCCTGAAAATTTGAACAATCAAAACCAATCAGTTGAAAGTTGACAGCTACGGAGACCGTGCTTGAACAAAAAATAAAACACATCCTGTACATGAATGGTGAGCACTCAGTCTCGTGGAGTTAAGTTGCATGAAAAATGAATCTGTAATGAAGCGGAGAATTGCACAGAGTAGGACAGCATGTTCCCAGGCTAATGTGGTCAAAGCGGCTATCATCACCATCATCTTCGTTGTCATTGTCCAACAGATGGGGCATGTCACCCCCAGGGCCAGTTTGTTTTTGCATCGTAACAGATTTGGAGAAATGTAGCATTCCATCACTTGTTCAGCAATGGATGCTCTGCAGTGAATGGGTGCCGTCAGAATGAGAGTCCAAACAGCTGATAAAAACATTACAATAATCCACACAATTCTAGTCCAATGAATTAATATGTTTGTATGAAACAAATCCGTCATTAAGGCATTTCGACTTTAAACCATAGCTTCTGACCAAAATAACAGTCCACAATCCATAATACTGCTCTCTCCTATTGTCCTCACGCATCAAATTTTCACTGATATGTTTGTTCAGATGAGTCAAACTTTTTCACTGGAGAAAGCAATATTATGGTATTATTACAAATACCCAGCTTTTCACTTCACAAGATGTTAACTGATGGAGTGGTGTGGATTATTGTGTTTTTATCAGCTGTTTGGACGCTCATTCTGACGGCACCCATTCACTGCAGATGATCCATTGGTGAACAAGTGATATAAAGCTTTATTTCTCCAAATCTGTTCTGATGAAGAAACAAACTCATCTACATCTTGGATTGCCTCGGGGTGAGTACATTTTCAAAAAAATTACAATGGAAGTCCATGGGAACTGAAACACTTAAATTTTTAGGTGGACTGTCCTTTTAAACTCATTTCGCGCTTGATAGGAAGCTCAGAGTGTGCCAGTTACCAGACACCTTGCCAGTAAAGTAGCTGTATCCTATGACCCAAAATATGTTGGCTTCTCTTTCGATGTTCAAGGTCAAAGCACCTGGGTCAAGTGTTGCTAGAAAGATGAAAGCCAAGCTGCTTTGACCCAGCATGCTCACTGCTTCCCTCAAGCCTTATTGGTCAATATTCAGAGTAGCCTGACGTGCAGAGTGCTGCTGATGAGTGTCAGCTTAAATTAATATTCATTGCAGTGATTTGCTTCTGATGCAAATCACTGACTGCTGCTGAAATTACCTCGTTTATATTGAAAGGCTACAATTCAGTTATGAGCCTCCATAGTGAGTCAGTACAGCTGGGAAATATGTTTACTTACAAATCTCATATGTGTAGGTCTATAATTTAATCACATTTCTATGATAAAGATAATAATTATATATTTTTGCAAGAAGAGAATGAGATCAAGACATGACACAGGCCTGACTTGAACTTGCATCCCAAGAGCACCGCATCTTAATTACAATTTTTATGATTGACATTTCATTTAGAAAACTAAATCTCTGAAGTATCTCTGGTGCACAAAGTAGTTTGGTCCTCATTAAAAAAGTTTTATGTAAAAATAAATGGACAGAGCGTTTGAAAAATGGCAAATCTTTCAAATGAGTGTGTGAGTTTAATTGCGGTGTGATAGGAAAGACACAATGAGCCTTCAGATATACAGCAATGCCAAGTACGAACACGAAAATAGGATGCCACATTTAACCAGTCAAAACAAATAAACTGTAAAAATGATTTTTTGATGTGGGTTTACAAGAAAATACTATTTCAGTCTTTCTACTTCAGAATTTAAGAGTTTAATTCAATGTGTTACTTGCGCTTTTCTTCTTCTTGTAATTATTTGGTACATTTACTAGCAATTTCTGAGTGAAAATAGTTTTTAAGTAAATTCTACACCACTTTTTTCTCATTGTATGAAATCACTTTATTTCTGTCTGCTGCCTTTGCTTCACAGTTCAGCATAGTCACTTGTGAAGGGACTGCATGCGCTTGATATACTTAAGTTTTGAGCCTTTTATAGTTTGTTGCTTTATAGATATTATCCTGAATTTCCCTTTTTGTGGATCATCTTAATCTCCAACCTGAGAATTTGGGATCATGTCGCAGAGCTAAGTTTCCTTCCAGTAGTTATGTTCTCTCTGTAGACGTTTTAATAATTAATTGAGATGTCTGTTGAGCTCAAAGATATGTTTGTGGCTGCATAATAAAACAGTGTTTACTCTAGCTTGTGTCTTCACAATCATATACAGCACAGGGGAAATAAAGAAGAAATGTGTCACACAATCCTCCAAAGGCAGAAGACAAAAAGACTTATGGCAGGAGATGTTTGACTTGATGCTTTCTTATAATACAACACACTATAATTTAAATTTACTGACTGCAAAATGAATCAAACATTTCCCAAAGTATGATAAAGTATGATAATGACTTTGTATTTAGTGTAACTCATTTGAACAAATTAAGTTTGTTTGTTGAGCGTTTTTTAGAATCTTTATTTTTCTATATCACTACTGTTGTGTAGTTTTTCTTCGATGTACTCAATGAAGCTCGAGAAGCAGAGTTCCAGATGTTAAAATAAGACTTTTATTAAACAAAGTAACAAAGCTGAGAAAACGGTAACCGCATCTGAGTCTTTGTCTGTCAACTCATCCGTTTTATACCTTTTTCTCTTACCAAAGTTGGTAGTTCCGGTTTTTATTATTGGCTATGCCTATCTGGTTTGCCACAATTTCTTATCAGTGGAATTTGGCCAGATCAGCCACTTTTACTCCCAAGGCCATTTTTATTAATGGTGGAATTTGGCCAGATCAGCCACCTTCATTCTGCTGCCAATAAGGTGGTCACATGAGACATTCATCAAATCTGTTTACTTGTTCCTGTTAACTTCTGGGAATAACCCAGAGTTCATTGGGTTATTTAAGTTAACTTGGTACAATCCAATGGAAACCACCAGTAGTGCCCAATGGATAGGCCCTCAGACTTACAGTATTGGAATAACTCAAGCATATTAATCAGTATATTGATTACTTTCATGACCATTCATCATATTTTAAGTGAGATAATACCATATTGAGTAAATAGCATAATATATAATAGAATTACACATTACTACACAGAGCAGAATGTTAGAACAGAAAACAAACCTGAAGAAAATTTCTCAGATACTATAAGTTTAACAATAGCAGGGCAATACATATGTATGGAAAACAGCACCAGATAAGTCAGAGTTGTAGCTGATCTGTTAGTTATCTCTGTGCATGGTGAAACAAATGCAATACAGTATCCATTCCACCTATAAGGCTGCAGCAGCATCTGTTTTGTGAAAATATTTCTTGCCTTGACATTGTGAACTTTGGTAGTGGCAAGAAAATGAATTCTCATGCAGCAAAGGCTTACAGGAGTCCTTGGGGGGGAAAGGGGTGAACACTTTGATGAACTATTCAAACTGATGCTCACTGTTCAAAATAGACGATTCCTTATGCTATTTTTCTTTTTCAACTGAAGTTTTCTGATGACTTTTGAAACATCTCTTACCAAAAAGTAGTATACTTCAAGTTTATTTTAGTAAGTATACTTAAGTAAAGTTCAAGTATATTTTTAAGTATACTTTATGTAGCAAGTATACAAATATCAGTGTACTAATAGTATACTTGTAAGTGTACTATTTCAATACTCCTTGGGACTAAATTGGCCCACTTTCTAATATATAAAAGTATACTTTTAAGTATAACAGTAGTAAACTTTGAGTACACAACTAGTTTACATCAAAATGTAGAAGTATACTAATAGCACACTTGAATAAACTTATTTTTCGTAAGGGATTTCATGCCAATCCAGATTTATTCTTACTAGTTAAAAGCTTGTTGCCGCTTGCGTTCAAAACCAAACCAGTTTTTGCTTCTTTTCTGAATTTAGCTTCATTAATGGAACTCTCCAAACATGAAGGGGTTAAAGCTTTGCCCTTTTTATTTTTAATAATCTCCCGGGCACAGCTGAATTTTGTTCTCTGTAGAGGACATCTGTATTTCATACATTTCTGTGAGACCACACACGTCCCTGTTTTAAGTGGTGTGTCATAAAAAGGACATCCTGGGCTTTCAGAGACACTAAATTGAGCAGTTTGTCCATGACAGCGCCGTTTCCTGGGTTTTTTAGAAATATCTCACAAGAAGGAGAGGAGGTATGTAGTATTTTTCTTGTAATTATCATTTGTACTGGATTGATTTTCAAACAAACATCTCTGGAAAACTTTGTTTATTCTAAAATTAACATCTTTGTCCACATTTATATATCAGATATATAAGAAAAGCTAAAGATTGACTGTTTAATAGACATCATTTTTGCTTGTCTTTATATTAATACGCCTCATTGCTGTCTACAGAGAACATCAAATAAATTATTAACAAAGAATGGACTGATTTTTTCTTCATTTTTCTAATGTTAGCCTATCAAAAAAACCTAAATGCACAAACATGTTAAAAACATTGACCAATTTATTTGAGTTACAAGTTCAAAAGTGTTCCCAAACTTTCCTTTTACTTACGAATGAGTCATGAATTGGTTTAACTGAATCATTGAAAAGAATCACGAATCGGACAACACTGAATCAGTAATTGTTCGATTCAGTCCACCCGGTTGTTGGAGAGCTTGGTTCAGCGCCACAGAAGTGTCGACTACGTTTGCAGGTACAGTTAGCCTACTTTATACCCTTTTTACGGTTTTATGCATGCGTCAACCTCATTTGTTTCTAAAATAATCGAATAGAATTGCTTTTTGTTACTGCGTGCGTCATTCTGTCGAATAATCAGATTGAATGGACTTCGCGCGCTGTCAAGTTTCGACATTCAAAGGCCAAAAAAGTACTGAATACACGTCGGTAATGTTATATTCCCCTAGCCAAACAAAAAAAAAGTCATTTAATTTTAATTTGCAAATCAAATTTAAAAAGTGAAATAATCGCAGCTGTAGTTTTAGACGCTTGTCAGGCAGGCACGTGCTCATGTCTACTGAGATAAAGATTTTGAATGTCTGTAAAAATGACATTAGCCTCGATTACAGCAATTAACATGACATTTCTGGGCATGTTTCTTTTTGTGCTTCAGTGCGCATATTTTCTAGAAGTCTTGCACAGTGACTCTTGGACCTCTTGGAAGCGTGCTAAGAAAAAGCACAGTGAGATATACTATTATGATTTATTGCCTTAAAGCTTCTGCAGTGCTTTGACAGTGTTGTAGATAGACATGTCAAGAGAACCTTCATTGTGCTTTGTTTTTGTCAGTTGCATTGAAGTGCAGCAGAGGAAGAAATGGATCCAAAGCGACCACCCTTTCCGGGGCCCCCAGGGGTCACCCGCATGCCATGGATGCTGTCAGCAGAAGATCAGGGTCAATTTCCTGACCAGCCCCCATTGGGGCGAGCCAGAGGTCTGGTTCTGCCTAAAGATGAACCTCTTCCTGGACGAGGTAGAGCCTTAGGCGTACCTGGAGAAATGCCTGTGCGGTTTGGGAGAGGCATAACTCCGTCTGTAAGCGAGCCTCTGGTGGGCATCCCTAGAGGAGTGCGATTACCGACAGACGAGGGAGGTTTTGGAAGAGCCCGAGGTTTTTTGCTGCCCACTCCAGAGCCCAGTGTTGGGATAGGGAGAGGGGCTGCTGTGGGACCAGTGCCTACACTGGACATTGAAAAATCAGATGTACAGCAAAAGATGCCTGAGCTGCAAACAGAGGTGGCTCCAGCGATCGCCCAGGTAAAAAAATAAATAAATCGAAATTGTGATTTTTCTAATAAAGATTACGATTTAAACGGGAGCTATTGTGCAAAATTCACTTTTACGTGGTGTTTGAACACTGATGTGTGTCTAAACAACCAGCCTATAATTAGAGTCCTATGAAATCTGTTTTATTTTTTCCCAAATTCCGTTTTTTCCATTTACATTTTTCAAGATTCTGTTGATTCCGCTGAGTCTTGATTCCTTTTAATGCTTAAATTAAATGTTATTGATCAAAAAGCATGCCTAATTAATTAAAACATGAAACCATTTAACATCAGTTTATTAAAAGTTTAACAAAAAGTAATTTTTAGGGCCCTATGAAATGTTTTATTTTTTTCTCACATTTTGTTTTATTGTTACCAAATTCTGTGTTTAATTTAATTATGTCTAATTATTTGAATGCGTAAAAACAACCTAATTTATTAAAATGTGTTTTTACAATAGCCCTATGAAAGTTTTTTTTTTTTTTTCTGGCATAAAACAATCTTTTAATCAAATGAAAGTTAAACAACTTAAGTTATACTTTGCATTACAACTGTACAATTACAATATTAATTTGTATGGCTGTATTATTATTATTATTATTATTTTAATTTTAAGCCAACTAACTTTTAAAACAAACAAACTGTTTGCTGAATTTTTGTGCAGCATCATAAAATGAATTCAGTCACTTCTGCTATGCAAACACATTAATTTAAGCTGAAAAACCTAATAAATGGTCATTTAAGCTGTTTCTGTTACTCTATTGAAGACAATTAATGACTATTATTACTAGGGATGCACCGATACCACTTTTTTCAGTACTCGCCCGATACCGATACTTTTATTTTTGGTACTTGCCGATACCGAGTACAGATACCAATATTTTTATTGCATTTGTAAATTTTTAAAATATTAGGTACAGAAACCAAAAGAGTATGTATAATGTTAGTTGGTTAACTTCATTTATCAAATAGATACAGTCAAACCAAAATGTATTCAGACACCTTCAACATTTCTCACTAATCGATTCTTGGGATTTAAGAATCGATATCGTTTCGTTAAAATTATAATCGATTAATATCGAGATATCGATATTTTTTACCCAGCCCTAATTTATAATGTTTCAAAATATTTCTTTTTCATATAAATGCTGTTCTTTTGAACTTTCTATTCATCAAGGAGTTCTAAACAATGTATCACGGTTTGTACAAAATGATTTTCGATTTGTCATGTGACACTGAAGACTGGAGTAATGATGCTGAAAATACAGCTTTGTCATCACAGGAATAAATTACGTTTCAAAATATATTCAGATTTGAAAGCAAAAAAAAAAAAACATCTGCAAATGCATACCGTAAATGCAAGCTTATGCATTCATATAAAACATTAAACGTTTGGGATGGATATAAGGATGATGTAAAGGTTATGCAAACATAGCAAGCATTTAAATGTAGATGGTGTGATCCTGTCTCAGCTTTAACTGTCCTGTCACAGAAAAAAGCAAGTCAGTCAGATTAAATTTTTTTTATTAATACTTTTATTAAAAGAGAATGTATTAAATTGATCAAAAGTGACAGTAAAGACATTGTTACATAATGTTACAAAATATTTCTTTTTCATATAAATGCTGTTCTTTTGAACTTTCTATTCATCAAGGAGTTCTAAACAATGTATCACGGTTTGTACAAAATGATTTTCGATTTGTCATGTGACACTGAAGACTGGAGTAATGATGCTGAAAATACAGCTTTGTCATCACAGGAATAAATTGTTTTAAAATATAGTCAGATAATAAAAGTTATTTTACGTTGTATTAATATTTCAAAATATTACAGTTTTACTGTGGTTTTAGATCAAATAAATGCAGCCTTGGTTTTTTTATTTTTTTTTTGGAAAAACATAAAAATAACCAAGACCAACCCCAAACCATTGAAAGGTGGTGAACATTTATGCCAGCATGTTTGCTAGTGCTGTGTTCAAAATATCGATACGACGATGTATCGTCACATCTCCACTTCAATATTCTATTCTCAGTAAATTGTAATTCATCGAGTGTTCATTTATGAGAGCGAGAAAGAGAGAGGCTGTGTATGTATGAATTACCACCGTTTTGCCGCGTTTTTCTATTAACAGTAAAGCTGTGGCTTTAATTCCTTTAGAAACAATAATGTTACCAGCTCCTTTTTGAAAAAAGATAATGTAGCTCTTGAGCGATTAAGCTATTTAGTTGATAAAACTGCGGGGCAGCGCTAAAAAGTTTGTTCCTGAATGTCTGAGTCCGGCCGCAACGTGATCTGTGTGTGTGACTGCACTTAACATCAAACTGCTTCTGTTTCACACAAATGCTGGCACAGATGTGCATGTTCGGCTAGAGTTGCTTTAAACTCGTGCATCTTCGGAAGCGGAGCTGCTCAGAAAGTCCTGCCGCGCGCACCTAAGCGAACTTGCGGACGCGTCAAGTAAATCAGCCTTGTGTGTGTTAGATACAGTGAAGACAGCGCGATAGTTTAGAACTCTTCTAATTTTTTTTTTTAATTGTAGAGAGTGTGTTAATTTGTGCAATGATAACCTACCAGCAATGTAAATGATTTTTTTTATATATTAGAATGAGTACATTACAATATAAACTTATTAGAACAAGTACATTATTATTTATGGGCTTAAAAACAAGATGCAAACAATCAGAATATTGTACCTGGTGGGGAGTGCACAATGTAAACATGAAACATATGCCATTACCTATATTGTACTGTGGTACAGTTATGGAGGCCCTTCATAATGCAGAGGTCAACTGCCTGCTCTGCCAATAGTTAGAAATGGCACTATAGTAAGCAGTGTTTAATAAACAGCTGTTTTACTAAATTCTGCTGAGGTGAAATTCAGTGCAGTCATATATCGTGATATGTATCGTATCGTGGCCTCTGTATCGTGATACGTATCGTATCATGCCAGCAATGTAAATATGATTTTTAAAAATATATTCAAATGAGTACATTACGATATAAATTTATTAGAATGAGTACATTATTGTTTATGGGCTTAAAAACAAGATGCAAACAATCAGAATATTGTACCTGGTGGGGAGTGCCCAATGTAAGCATCAAACATATGCCATTACCTATATTGTACTGTGGTACAGTTATGGAGGCCCTTCATAATGCAGAGGTCAACTGCCTGCTCTGCCAATAGTTAGAAATGGCACTATAGTATGCAGTGTTTAATAAACAGCTGTCTAAATTCTTCTGAGGTGAATTTCAGTGCAGTCCTGTATCGTGATACGTATCGTATCGTGACTTTGCTGGTGATACACAGCCCTAATGTTTGCGCATTCATTCAGGTTGAGATGCAACATTTGGTTTTCAAAAAGTTGCATATTGGCATCATAAGGAGCAGGGCCTATACTATTATACCATTATAAATATAACACGTCTTAGTCAACCCTGCTGTGTACTGCATTTAATCAAACTCATACCTGTTTTATTATTCATGTCAGCGCTAGGTTGATTGGAGTGGGCATTAAATTGTGCGCCATCATTTTTGTATCCTTGGCAACACCAACAAAGTTGAATAGTCACCAATTAGACGTGCAATTTACTGCTGAAGACAGCAGGAAGGTCAAGTAGCTAATAATGAAAACAAACTTAATCTGCAATGTAAATACAAATGATGAACTTAAGCCCATTAATCTTCTATTTAAGAGCTTTTTTCTTTGTAAGGACTTGAATAGTGCTTGAAATAGTCCTTGGCGTCTGAAACAGTGACCTTTCTGTGACCTTTCCGCACAACTCTTGGGAAGCCTCTGCTTTTTTTGGGCCGCACTTGACCTGACTGGCTTAAAAAATATATTTTCTCAACACAAACATGACATTTTAAGATGAGACTTGCAACCTTTTCCAGCACTATAACAACCTATGGCTCATTGTCCCAGTGTTTCTTATGTCCCTAAATGCACCGGTTCTGGGATTAATCAACTGTCTGAACCAATTATGTGCCAATCAGCAGCTGTTCCCATTTGATATATTTGGCCCACACTGTCAGATAGCAATATTAATGTCAATACTAAAAAAACAACAACCTCTGAACTTAATTAAACTTCGGATAAGTCACTTGGCGTTTATGACATAAGTAGAGAGGATGATGTTTTAATCTTTAAGAATGTAGTGTCTGTTGACATTTCATCATAGTTACCTACTTAGGATAGTATGAAATTTGTTTTATTCCAAATGTTTTATTTATTTCTGGATTCATTTTTAATGTCTTGATTCAATTTTAATAACCAAAAAGTATGTCTATATTCAATTGAACTACTACAACTTTAATGATTAATTTTTTAAAATTAAAATTGCAATAATATTTCCCTATGAAATGTTTTATTTTTTCCAGAAATTCTGTTTTATGTTTTAAGTTTTCCAGATTATTTTTTATGATTTAATCAATGATGTAATCTAATGAATGCATAAAACGTATTCAATAAATATCTAAACAGTTAATCTTTTAAAATGCAATTTTGATTTTTTTTTTTTTTTGGCAAACAAAGTGCTGCACAATAGAGGCTTAGTGTTAAAAAATAGATGAAAAATTGTGTGATATGCCTTAAAATATTTTAATAAACTAACATTTTTATTCTCGTTGCTTTGAGAAGTACATTCTACTGTGCAATAATAATATATTTCTATTATACTTTAAGGTTACACCAAACTTTTATTTTGATGGGTTGAATTTAGTTTCTGTGTTTATATCAGTTTTCTCAAATGAAATGGTGAAATGCTGGTGAAGTGACGCTCCGAGCAGCTGTGGAGATGAAGTTCAGTCCCATGCACACAGAACATGTAGACTTCCTATTTAATTGCAATCTTTTTGTGATTTAATTTTCACAGACTAGTCCATATCATGATTTGATTAAGTGTGTACAGGCATTTTATTCATCCAAATTTTGCAAAAATCTGTGATTTTCAGCGTAATACAGTAAATTCCACGACAGGATTCCGTCCGTGTTTTCTGCATCACGGTAATCATAAGGCCCTAGTCAGTACAATTAGATGTGTACTTTATTTGTGATCCTTCACATCTTTCTATCCATATTTTGTACTCGTATCATCTCCTACAGTTCAGTTAATGAAGAAGCAGTGTGAACTCTGAAACCAGCATTTCGCTGTGAGTATGACTCTGTTATTAGTCTGTACTGTATGTTGGTTTTTCTGTCCTAATTCAGGACGAGGGGCAGCAGGCGATTTGGGGGCAGATGTCCAGTCTAAGCCGACCATCATTGGGGCAGCTGCTCTGACTCCGGAAAGAGAAGAAGCCCGCTTAGAAGAAGCCATCAGGTGTTGTTTCATGTTTATCATCTTAGTGCAGTTTCTTGGATTTGCTAATTCTTTGCATCTTTTATTTGCACGTGGAAAAATATTAAGTAATAGTTCACCCCAAAATAAAAAATTCTAATTTCAAAATGTCATTCCAAACCTGCATGACTTACTTTCTTCTGGACGATTTGTGTGTCTGTGTGTGTTTGTCTCATATATGACTTCAGACAACTTAAGAAGTCATATGAGTCGCCTGTATGATCATTTTATGGGCCTGTCATTGTCTTTTTGGAGCTTACTTTGCTTCACAGTTGAAAAGATCTTTTTCATTTTTGGGTGAGATTAGGGACTGAATCAGACTGCATCAGAATGAGTTTTGCTTTGTGTGGTTGCAGTGTCCTGGGCAGAGGATTTGTTGGTGTTGGCAGAGCTGCGTTGCCCCATATGAGTGTAGGCCGTGGACCAATTGGCCCGTCGGGTCCCGTTGCTGCCCCGTTCTCCTTGCAGTCTGCTGCCTCCGTCTCTGAAGAAGCCCCAGTTCCTCCAGGAACACCCCCAAAAGTTGAAGTGAAAATTGAGACAGTGAAGTATGAGTTCTCTTTCAGTCATTTCTTGTCCTGTTTGTAATTTTTTTTATCATTTCAAGCAGGTTTTTAAGAAATTCATACTCCGCAAGGACACATTAAATTGATCAGAAGTTACAGTAAAGACATCTTTAATGTTACAAAATATTTATATTTCAAATAAATGCTGTTTTTTTGAACTATGTGTACATTAAAAAATCCTGAAATGTTTCTTGAGCAGCGAATCAGAATATTAGAATGATTTCTGAAGGATCATGTGACACTGAAGACTGGAGTAATGATGCTGAAAATTCATCACAGGAATAAATTACATTTTAAAATGTTAAACTAAAAAGCAGTTATTATAATATTTCACAATATCTTTGATTAAATAAATGCATCCTTTATTAACACGAGACTTACTGACCCCCAACTTTTTAACTGTGTGTACATAATATACGTTGTAGCTGAGTTATGACCCAATTCTGCCTAATTTGCAAATTATTTGTTCCATTGGTGCTGTGCTTAGTAACGAATCAATCCAACAAGTTGGTACAGACTAATGTTTCTCTTCTACAATGTGTTTCTACAGGGAGCCTCTGCAGAAAATGGGAACAAAAGGCTGTCCCGTATCCATCGGGTCAAACTACATCCCCATCTGTTGCAAAAATGAAGCTGTGTTTCAGTACCATGTTACTTTTACGTGAGTCAAAGGCTACGTTCACACTGCGAGCCTTAGTGCTCAATTCCGATTTTTTTTCTCAGATCCGATTTTTTTGTGTAGCTGTTCACATTGTTGTTTTAAAAGTGGCAAATATCAGTTTTACAGTGTGAACAGATCATGGTTCTGAACTGACCCGCATGCGCAAAAGAACAATACGAACAGGGTTTCCAGGTTTACACAACAAAATCCGCACAATTGCTTCTCAAAACTAGTCCAAAACTAGCACAACCATGTTCAGGGGGATAAACATCGCGTTAGTGGGGTCGCGTCGACCCACGAAGTTGAAAAACATCCCGCGGCAACAGTGGAAAAGTAGCCTGATTCTGCGGGGAAACTGGATTTGGCAAAATTTTCGTACGGAAGTAAACATGGAGGACATAAAGTAAGCGATTATGCGTTTATTTGTAGTGTAATCTGCTGCTGAATCCGGCGAAATTACGTGCAGGCAATATGAAAAATAAAGACAAGGATGTGACAAAAGACAGCAGAGTTTTGAAGCTTTTATGATACGAGCCCTCATGTTTTGTTTGTATATAGAGTTGTCACCAGTGTTAATTTTGACAGCAAATTTTTATTTAGTTTTAGTCATAATCTTTTGACTAAAAGGCCATTTAGTTTTAGTCATATTTTAGTCCTCTGAATTGTTTTTAGTTTTAGTCGACTAAATATCATAAGATTTTAGTCAACTAAATCTGCAGTAAATTTAGTCGGCTAAAATCTAATGGGTTTAGTTACAGTGCATTTATTAAGCATTTCTCTACTCCAAAATTTCCAAACTCATTATATAGGTTTGATATTAAGGTTTTATCATGATAGACAC